TTAATTAAGTTGGCTTGAAAAAGCCAACTTACTGTTCTTCGTAATCTTCTTCTTCTTATTATTATTATTCTACGCTCAAAATATAAAATATTTCTCGTCCCACAGTTTTCGAGCTAGAACCACGACCACAACTTTGCAGGATCGTAGGACCCATACCCGATTAGGTTGCTTGTGCTTTTCTAAGCGATCCGATGTACGGTTTCCGGAAAATTAACGTTCAAAGTCGATATTTTTTCCCATAGGGAATGAATGGGCGGAATGTTGGCAGCATGCCACACATGATGTCACAATGGCCCGTTAACTCACACACCCATCCAAACTGACGCACGGAACCTAATGTCTCACCCGCTCCCAGCCTAATGCTCAGCAGTGTCAGCACACATAATGGTTTGTTAAGGTGGAACTGCTTTTAAGGTGGAATTGCACTTAGGTAGCACTGAATTTTAAGGTGGAACTTCTTTTAAGGTAGCACTGAGTTTACACTGATACTGAAATTAAGGTGGAACTGCATTTAAGTTAGCAATGAATTAAAGATTGAACTTCAATTAACATTGGACTAACTTTAAGGAGGCACAGAATTTAAGGTCGAAATTTAAGGTGGAACTCTTTAAAGTAGCACTAAAATTAAGATGGCACAGAATTTAATGTGGACTTCTTTCAAGGTAGCACTGCAATTAACATAGCACTAAATTTGAGGTGCTACAGAACTTAAGGTGGAACTCTCTTTAAGGTAAAACTAAAATTAAGGTGGCACAAAATTTAAGGTGGGACTTCAGTTAACATTGCATTCAATTTAAGGTGGCACAGAATTTAAGGGGGAACTTCTTTTAAGGCAGCACATAATTTCAGTTGGAACTCACTTTAAGGTGGAACTTAAATTAAGGTGGCAAGGAATTTAAGGTGGAACTTCAAATAACATAGCACTAAATTTAAGGTGGAACCGGTATTAACTTAATACTAAATTTAAGATGGCACAGAATTTAAGGTGGAACTTCAATAAACATAGCACTACATTTAAGATGGCACAGAATATAAGGTGGAATTTCAATTAACATAGCATTAAATTTAAGGTGGAAATTCAAATAACAGCACTAAATTTACAATGGCACAAAATTTAAGGTGGAATTTCAGCTAAATAGCATTCAATTTAAGGTGGAACTGCTACTAGCACATGACTAAATTTAAGGTGGAACAGGAATTAAGGTGGAGCTTAAATTAAAATAGCACTAAATTTAAGATGGCACAGAATTTAAGGTGGAACTTCAGTTAACATAGCAGTAAATTTAAAGTGGAACTGCTATTAACATATCACTAAATTTAAGGTGGAACAGAATTTAAGGTGGAATTTCAATAAACATAGCAAATAATTTAAAGTGGAACTGCTAATATCACTAAATTTAAGGTGGAACAGAAATTAACATAGAACATTAATTAACATTGTACTAAAATTAAGGTGGCATACAATAGCACTAAATTTAACATGGCACAGAATTTAAGGTGGAACTTCAATTAAAATAGCATTCATTTTCAGGTGGAACTTCTTTTAAGTTAGCACTGAGTTTACACTGACACTGAAATTAAGGTGGAACTGCATTTATGTTAGCACTGAACTTAAGGTGTTTTTTAATTAACATAGCAATAAAATTGAGGTGGCACAGAATTTAAGGTGGAATTTCTTTTAAGGTGGCACCGAATTTAAAATGGAACTCTTTTTAAGGTGGCAATAAATTTGAGATGTAACTGCAATTACCATAGCACTAAATTTAAGGTGGCACAGAATTTAAGGTGGGACTTTATTTAAGGTGACACAGAATTAAAGGTGGAACTGAAATTAACATAGCACTGAATTTGAGATGTCACAGAATTTGAGTTGGAATTTCAATTAACATAGCAATAAATTTAAGGTGGAACCACTATGAACATAGCACTAAATTTAAGGTGGAACTTAGTTTAAGGTAGCCCTAAAATTAACGTGGCACAGAATTTAAGGTAGAACTTCATTCACAGTAGAACTTAGCAAAAAATTTCCATCCACCACGGATTCTGCAGCTTCTGCTTACCAACATTTTGGCAACAATTCAACAACTATCAGCAGTCTTCAAACATTTTAACGTTTATATGTAATTGACTGGCTTTTTCAAGCCAACTTAAAGTTCGTTCACAAACTTTCCCTTTCTAGTTATTACTTAATATCTCACTGATCACAAAGAGGAAATATTAAATAAAATGTCTAAAAATACTTTTTGGTGTGTTGTTTATAACACCTAAATGTAAACTGCATTTTAAAACACTTTTTAAACATACTTTTCTAACTACTCAGTCCTTACAGGTTTCAAACAATTAGTAAGAAGCTGCAATCAATCAATCAATCAATCAATCAATCAACATGCAAATGATGAACAGAGCTGTAGATGATTCTAAAATTATCTCTAATAAAATTAACACAAAAAAGAACTTCTGTTCAAAGTAATATCATGGATGAAGTTTAATATGTTCTTGTTTTCCCCAAAATACTACGACACTGAATAAATCACCAAAACATTTTGGTGTCTAGTTCATAATATTTAAAGCTACATTATTAAAACATTATTAAATATTACATAACAGGAAAAACATCACTCTTTGAACAGTTATGTATTATGTATTTAGTATGCATTTAGTATTTGTTTTGTTTTATTTTGCGTTTCTTTGACAGTACTGTAACTTAAATTTACAGATCAGACAGACAGACAGACAGGTTCTGTTCTGTCACTGATCCATCTATGCGAACAGCAGCTGTTTTTTGTCACTGCTTTAACTTCCTTCTTGTAAACGCTGTTATGTTCACTCTGCCTGGTTACTGATGATGTGTCCACTCTGATTGGTCAGGGCTTATGTTTCTCTGAGCCGCACCTGTTTAGTGTGTGTCTCCGCCTCACTGCTCTCAGACAGTCGCAGGTAAGAGGACTGAGAAGACTTAAAGAGCTCTGAGACGATCAACACAAAATGGCCCCAGTGGCCTTCTGCGCTTTGGTGCTGCTCGGTGTCGTTGGGCCAGCGGTCAGTGGTGAGTCCAGCTTTTATTCAGCACAATAATCTCAACATTGAACCTTTTCTGAAAGTGAAAGTAACTCAGTGTTTTACACAGTAAAACACCCCAGTTCTTGATCTGCTGTTCCAGTGATGAAGTCACTCTTAAAGGGTTCAACTCACCCTAAAAGCTGAATTAACATGGACATTGACTGTGTTGAGTTCACTCTCACTGTATGTTCTCTGGCTGAGTCCTAGGTTCAGTCCTGTAATAGGAGTTAATACAGTTCAGTCAGTGAGTTCAGCTGTTTATTACACTCACTTTCTTTCAGATCTGCAGAAGACACAGCTTGTTTGAACTGGTTTTGAAGCCTTTTAATACATAAAAGAACAAAATGTGTGAAACTAAAGTAGAACACAAAGATCACACCATAAAACTGATAAGTGTGGCTCAACGTTTTAGGACGGTCCGAAGTCCAGCTGTTTGTGACGCACAGGGTGGACTTCTAACTTATCACTTAATACAGACTGTTTAAACATATAAATCCTGCTTGGTTGAATGTCTTCCTTTTTTTAATGTTATTTAATGTTTTACTAGGTGAGAATGGACAATTAAAGCATAACATAAAAAAAAACAGTAAAAAAACGGAAAATAGTGAAAGTTATGTTGTTTTACTTTGAGAAAACAATGGGCAGAAAGGCTGTCGGCGTTACTGATTTAAAGTTGTAAAATGATCTGAACACTTGCAAGTTTTTGTGGTGGCACAAACAATGTTAGAGAAAACGAAAGAAAACTAGAGTCCTGTTTGGTGACATTCTTGCCACACCTCTGATGAGACCTGTCAACAGAATGACATCTTAGACAAGTCTGCCCTCTGCTGGCACTCCAGATTAACACACTGTAGTCTGATAAAGGCAATGTTTAAGACTTCATTCTTAATTAGGGGTGGACGATATAACAAAAGTATAATACCACAATATTTCACAGAATTTTACTATACACAATATGTCACAGTGTTTATCTGTTAAGGTGGAACAGCCAAAAAAGAAGAAGTGGTGCCAGATTTTCAAAAACATTGTCCGAAACTATAGTTTTTATTCACGTGCTGCACTGCACTAAATTCAGATAATCATTATGTTCTTTCCGTAATCAAATCTGCAGTTGTGTTTCTCTACAAGAACTGATGATGTTCACAAAGTGCTTGTAAACAGAACTGTGATATCATTTATCACAGTAATGATAAATATTGTAATAACGCCCAGCTCTGCTCTTAATCCACAAGAAGCACAAAAGGTTTTGCTCACTAATATAGAGTTTAATCCACTTTACATGTTTATTTTAATTTCAGTGCACAAAATTGTACAAATATAATAGTCTGTTTAATGTTCTTTAGTTTTTTTATGTACTGTAGTTTGCATGCTGAGTGAAATCTTCCAAGTTATTGGTGCCTTTTTCTTTGCCTCCTCTTTTTCAGCACTATTTAAACTAACAGTGGTGACTGTTGCTGCCCCCTAACAGTGCAGACTACAGCAGAGTGTTTGATACTGTAGTAATTCACAGTGAAAGTGTTGACCTCACTCTTACAGTGTTGCTTTTTTGTCTGACTGCTCTGGCTGCTAGTTTAACACTGCGGGTGCTTCTTTAGTGCTGGGAGTTTTGCTCTGTTTTGCAAATTCATTCGCTTGTTGTAACAGATTTTGGAACATTTTGCTACAAACACAAACAAAATGCCATGAATGTGGCTTTTACTTTAAACGAGCTGATTCATTTGGAACAAGTTTAAAAATATCCCATGTTTGATTGATTACCTCCTATTTTATGTATTGATTTTTTTGTTTAGGGAAAATGCCTTTTAACATTTTGGTTTAATGAAGGATTAAGGCCACACCCACTTATTAAAGCCTGTATATTTCAAAAACAAATGAAGATGCAAGTCTAAAAAATTGCACACTTAATGCATAATGAGAAGTCCTGATAACCCCGAGATTATTTGGAATAAGCATATTGTTTGGGTTAAGGCCGACCTTTTTTAATATATAGATTTGCTTATTAAATTACTAAACCTTGCCTACTGAATTAATTTCACAATCTGTTCCTCTTTTTCAAAAACATTTAAACAAAAACACAGTTTCTGGTGGCACCAAGTTCATGAGTTAAACATGAACATTGTTATGCAGAACCAAAAACACAAAGAGAAATAGGTCAGTAGGTTCTCTAAAGCCACAGTGGATGGTCAAAATCAGGCCGTTTTGGGGGGCAGTTTCTCATTTAATTTCCTTTAATGATAATGGCAGGCACTTATATCCAGAAATGATCTAATAGGGTTGGGCAATATGTATATCATATAGATTTCATTATCGTAATAAATTATATCGTAATATAATACAGTATGCTTTTCTGAACATATGGTGGATCTAGTTAGCACTTGTAGAACAGCAACCAACAGCACGTATCTTTATACAGAGAGCAAAGTTAATCCCATTTAACTGGATTTAGTGCAGCACAGTATGACAAATATTCAAGAAAAATCATTGTGTTCACAGTTTTTTATAGTATTTTAAAAACTGTAGCACTACTGGTTCTTTTTTTTCTCAGTTCCAGTTCAGATCCATATCGCGCACCTCTGCGCTCTAATTAGGTTTCAGAGGAACGCAAATGAATTGTTAGATGTCCAACCACAAACAGGCAACAGAAAATAATGAAATAAAGGTTTTTTTAAAACCAGCAATATCACATTTTTGGGAAAATTAAGTTATTCTTGTCTTTAAGTAGGTGGTCTTTGCAAGAGCTCTGCAAAAGCTCACATAAACATGTTTTTGGCCTTCTTGTAGTCTCATTTCTGAGAGTGTAAAGCTCATGTTTTTATCTACGCTCTGAAAAATAAGTTACCGCACCACAGGGGGCGCTCAAGAGCGGTGAAGCTCGTGAAACTCTAGCCTCACCTTGTGAAATGGATCTCAAACAATGGCGGAGGCCTTATAAAACACATTTATTACACATGCTGACCAGGAATACACTGTCAGAGAGCAAAAGGGCAAAGGCTCATTGACTTTTTATATTTATAAATATTTTGTTTACTACTCTGTTGTGCTTTGATTTTTCTACTTGAGGCCTGATTTTAAATAGATAACTATTTGTGAAGATCATGTTAGAAATCCATATACATTTTGATGATAGAACCTAAATATTTGCTCATTACATTAGGACTCTTTATATCTAATATCTTTGAATATATCCAGTTAGATTTCAGTGAATAAATGTTAATTTTTTGGTTAATGTTAATGAGTTTGTCAGTAAGGCCGATGCTAAGTAGCTGTTCTCTTCTTTTCTTCCTCCAGACCAACACTCTCTGTACTACATTTACACCGCCCTCTCCAAAGATGTCGCTCTACCAGGGATCTATGAGTTCACAGCACTGGGTCTGCTCGATGACCGGGAGATCGACTACTACAACAGTAAGGACCAGGTTAAGGTTCCTAAGCAGGACTGGATGAGGGAGAAGATGCAGCCAGATTACTGGGAAAAAGGCACCCAGTCTCGCAAGAGCAAAGAGCAGTGGTTCAAGGTCAACGTGGAGATCCTGATGCAGCGAATGAGACACACAAATAATAGCGGTTAGTGATCTGTCAGGTTTTTTCCATCCACTGTGGTTCCTCATATGTTGTGCCAGCAAATGTCATTGTTTTATTTGCTTTCATTGTTTTTCCATCAGACCTTCACGTTCTTCAGTGGAGACATGGCTGTGAGATCGATGAGTCAAATGGACAAGTAAAATTTCTGAGAGGCATTGATGAGTACAGCTACGATGGGTCAGAGTTCCTCTCTTTTGATGATGGCAACATGCGGTGGATTGCTCCAGTTCCAGAAGCTGAGCCAACCAAAAGGAAATGGGATGATGTGCCCATCCTGAACCAGTACACCAAGGGTTACCTGGAGAAAGAATGTGTGGACTGGCTCACCAAATTCATGGAGTACGGAAAAGAATCACTGAGAAAACATTGTGAGTTCCAGAAAATGTTTGACAAAATCATTTAAATTCTTTATTTTGTGGGTTGGATAAGAAAGATCCTTGAACCAGCATAGCCAGAGTTTCATTTTAGGAAGGAACTGAGTACAGGTTTGGGGGGGGCAGTTTGTAAAATCATTATGTCTCAGAAATGTCAGGGTTAACTACTGTATGGTAGCCCCTGTAGCCAGAGAGAGAGAGCACAGCACAGCTCAGCTAATTTCCCACAATCTCCAGATACAGTCAGGCAGTATAACATTTCAGCATTGAAAAACAATAAGAGAGGAGCTTAAATGATTTTGGCTTAGCTTTTCAGCTAAAAGAAGGGCAAACATTACAAAATTTTCGGGGTTTTTCAGATTTGTAGTCATCTGTGTGATGCTCCCAGTCTCCAACAAACTACCAAAAGACCTAGACGCTTAAGTAGGCTGACAGCAAACAACACACTTGTGAAAAGCATATCCTAATTACCCACTGGTTCACTGTCTGTGGCTCTCAACTCTGCAGATGATGCTAGACCACACCCCCCGCTGCCACAGCGTTGTTATTTTCCTTATTGCTGCACTGGTGTAAAACAGGAGCGATATGTGACTGCAAATAGCCATGTAAACGACTAGCTGTTGAATTAAGAGCCTTGACGGGCACTTTTATTTGTTTATGGTGGAAAAAGGCATGAGGGCACAACAAAGAGATCTGGGAAAGACTGGCATCCAAAAGACAAGGCCCAGGCCTCTCAAGGCCCCCCTGTAGCTCTTAATTCACCTAGTTGATCTTATACTTTTTGAGTGAAAATACAAAGCTGATAAAATACAGAGAAATAATATTTTTATTTCTATCCTTTCAGCCAAACCAGACGTTTATGCATTTTCAAAGAAATCTACAACTAACTCGGGCAAGCTGACCCTGACCTGCCTGGCCACGGGCTTCTACCCCAAAGACGTGACGCTGTGTGTGAGGAAGTTCCGCACTTCACTGCCTGAACATCTACTAACATCTTCAGGAGTCAGACCCAATGAAGATGGAACCTTCCAGCTGAGGAAGAGTGTGGACATCCAGGAGGACGAAACAGCAGAATACGACTGTTATGTGAATCATATCACCCTCGCAGAACCAGTAATTACAAAATGGGGTAATTAGATTTATAATTCTTGGAATTCTTAGTAGAATATAAGTCATTGCATGTTCTGTTTTTTCACTGTCAGTGCAATTGTTTGCTTTATATAACTGTAAACGCTGCTTAACAGTATGGCAGATTACAGAGACTAGACCAGAAATGACCTTTTTAAACTGCAGTAAGCTGCCTGTGACACAGAACTTCAAAATATTGCCCACTTTAATCAATAAATGTAGAATGGTATGACACTTTCTCCATCAACCCGTTCTGTACCCTTGCAACAAATTCTAAATAAAGGGAAAATATACATATGTTCTCATACAGCAACATTTCAAATAAACTTATGTTAATTTTGGACAAAGACTCTTTAGAATTGGGACAGAAAGAAACCCTGAGTGTAGTGTTCACCCAGATCAACCAGCTAAAGCACTTCTGGTGTGATTCTGTGACTAATGTGATAGAAATGATGCTATTTGATCAAATAGGTATTGGCCTGTAATGTTTTGAAGGTGGCAGGTCAGTAAAGATGTATTAGGCCTCCAGGTGCTCTGCTGGGCTCTGCTAGGCCTGGATTTGACTTTGTCCAACACAGAAACTAAGAAAAAAAACAACACAAAAGGCTCATTTGTAAGTTCATACATCCTTGGAATGAAGCCTTTCTCCACTGGACATTCTGTAGCATAATGCAGTTGGGTTGAACAAAATAAGATTCCTCTACAGATGAAGGGTAGATGAGGAGGCCATAAATAAGGTTCAGTTATATCTGCTGTTGTTAGATTTCAATTTTTTCCATTTAAAAACTATAGTTTCCTAAACTGTTTTTGTCATTTAAAAAAATGTAACTCTAATTTTTTACTGATCACTTCCCTGTCTGCAGAGCCTCCTCGCTCCCAGGGTGGTCTGGGCTTGGCTATTGGAGGAGCAGTTGCAGGTTTGATTGTGCTGGCTGTGCTGGTTGGAGTCGTCATTTTTATAAAAAATAAGCAGAAATGTGGTGAGTATAAATTGTGTTCATATTCTGAAGATTATATTTAAATTCTGTTCAAAGCAGAAAAAGTATATTTTAATAATGGACTTCTATGTCATTTGGCCAAAGAAAAATAATCTTTATTTAGACAACAGTTAGTTCTAATAGCATGATCTGATAGTCTGTGAACTTTTCTACTGTGCTGTTATTTCTGATAACAGCATGTTTTTCACACAGTAACTGTAGTATTCTGCTGAATATTGCTAAATATTGTCTACTTTACAGCTAACAAAAGTACGTTTCTACTGTGATGGTAGAACAACTAAACACACTGTAATCAGCCAGAAGTGAACAGAATGGGCTGTAAAATGCTTTACAGACTGACTGAACAAGAGATTCTGTGAGTTTCATGGTCTGTCTGTGACAGGGCAGTAAAGTCAGTTTACGTTGAACATTTGTTGGATATTTGACATTCTCTCCTTAGATTTTTATGAAATTAATGTCCCAAAATGCTTAAAACTACATTTTCTCGTTCCTGAGAATAAAGACAATAAACTACAATCAGATATATTTCAGTTGTATCTGTCCTTAAATTTCACTGAACATAATCCTTTGGAAATGCAGATCACCAGCGTGTTAGTCATTAAGGGACCATCTGAAAAGTACATAATGTTTTTCTAAATTTTGTTTCTCATATATTTAGCTAACAGAAGGGAAAATCACATAATATCACATGTAGTAGACAGAGTGGCTACCTTTAAGTGAAATAGAAATCCCAGTGAATGGAGACCACTGTTTTTCTATTTTTACCTTCTTTTAACTAAACACATTAGGAAATGTTTTTTGCACTATTTAGATGGACTGTTAGTGACTAAAGTGTCAGTGATCTGTATTTTCTGAACATAATATTCAGCAAAATTTAGAAATATATTTGAAATATATGTGAAATATTTGAAACATTTTGAAATATATTGGTCATTGGTTGTTCCTTGTCTTTCAGGAGTGAGAAAATTTAGGTTTGATTGTTTTTGGACATTTATTTCATAAGAAATTGAGGAAAGTTGAATATCCAGCAAACGTCTAACATAAAACCCGCTTCACCACACTCTCCACACTAATGCAAAAGGATACTACTTTTTGGCAGAAGAAATTGCCAACATTAAAACACATTTGAAATGATTTTCAGGGCTGAATGAACTGAAGTAATGTTAATTTAGTTTACAAAACTTTTCCATAAAAGCAGTAACACTTGCCTTTGTGCGTTATCACGAATAACCGCATAACTTTAATGATTCACAGTATTTGCTTTCATCTCATACCTGCGACCAAATCACAGCTGTGACGACAGTCCCTCTCGTATTGTATTTTTTAAATAACCTTTATAACTTTCTGACCTTTTTGAGTGAGGTGTAAGACATCAAGATGATGAATGTTATAGTTTTTCATAATTCTGAGCATATGAACATACCAGGGGTGTCAAGGTTGATGCAATAAATTATTAACACCACTAATTTTTTCAATAAATTTTCCTACTTTAACCCTTCGTCCCATCTGTAGTAGTGCGGGCTAAAGCCCAGTTACAGCTATGTAGTTGTATATTGCCATGAAAGAATTCGCAATTGTAGGCTTTTCGTTCAAATGCAATTTTCAAATGGCTTTTAAAGTATAATCTTCAGGACCTTCAGCAGACTACACTGGACAGTGCTCAGAGGAGAAATGTGGATAAATCAATGAGCAACATACTAACAAAAGTAGCAGCAAAGTGGAACTCCAGTTCCCCCCAAGAACAATAATCCACACTGGATTCCAACAGTGTTCACACTGTAAAAATAACAATAATGAACTACTGAAAGTAATAAATACATTTACTCCACTCTTATAGCTATGAAAATGCACTTCTTTGTAAATGAATTGTTGTATTAGGGTTTAAATTTAAGCAAATAAGGTAAATTCAATGAATCAAGATTAACAACCTAAAATAATGTGATTAGTTCATCTTATTTTAACACAAACATGTTTTTCCAATAATATTCTGCATATTCAAAAACTATGATGATGGCTTCTGCTAATTCTGCTCATGTGTAATCACATGTTCATCTGTCTCAGTTCTATGATTTCCACTAATTATAACAAAGAGTAGAATTGTTGTTGACAAAATCAGCTCTGACATTACTATAACTTGTGTATTATTACTGCCAGTATTTCCTAGTTATCTGGTTAAATGAAGCTAAAAATAAAGATTGTGCAATATGAATACACCTTTCCTCTTCTTCTATTAGACACTGACATCTCGTTGCATCTTTTCAGTGCCAACTATAACTGCATGTACTTTTTTGTTCTCAGTGTCCAAAGATGAAAAGAACACCTCAACATCTGATAAGGCCCTGTTGGAAAAAAAGGGTAAGATTAACAGATACATCCTTGTGGTTTTACGGAGTCAGACAAATGGATCAAGTTTGATCAAGGTAGCATCTGGAAAAGACTCTGCTGAAATTGATTGTCTGAAAACTGGTTGTGTGTACGGCATCTCTCTGTGGGCAGAAAAGGCCGTTCACACAGCCCACCAGTAACTGTGAAGGCAACTCCTGGTGGGCATTGATAGTGCAGCATTAGTACAAATTTGTCATTTAAGATATTAAAGGTTACTCAGGGATTGATTGTGAACTGTATTTTTGAACCTCACATATCCAGAACATCCTCAGAATAGACTGCAACATGACTAGGTTAAACACAGTACTGGATGCTGAGCCAAGCCTCTTACTTTCACTAAGCCTTCAGGAAAACACTGGTGCAGAATAGCCCACTACATGTTTGAAATAGCCCACTAGGTACTGCTCATGTGCTAATTGTGCCCAAATGTAGTAAGCAGTATGCATAATGTCCCCAACATGAATTCTTTCAGTACAGCAAAGATACCCAGATGACGTCCTACTCTGAACAAATATTCCAGTGTTGTTGGACACTGTGGGCCAGATTTACTAAAAGACACTCATTACCAATAGTCTGCCAGCACTTTGTGCTGGTGGAGTGGCTGATTTAGCAGGTGGTAATGAGTAAAATAAATACTTTCATTAGAAAAAGAAAAGTAAAATAATATTTCAGATGAACACAAGAAATATTTTTGATCAAAATAAATCTTCAAACACTTCAACTTCAGTGATTTACAGTGTATTTGTAAGATGCAGACAGAAACACAGATAACAGCTGATTTAGACTCATATTAAAGGTAAATTCTAATTGTATTAAAGAAACAGATTGATAGCGATGATGTAGACAGTAGCCGACTGTATTTTCACATTTTGAATCATAAAAATTGAATTTTTACACACATCTAATCTACTTCTAAAATAAAAAAAATTATGTTGTAGCATGTCCAAATTTAACTTGTCAAAAGTAAATATAATTTTTATTAAAATATTTTTGCATGTTCAAACTGATTTTTTTCAAGAGAAATTTGAATTATTAAATGATCATATTTAATTTTTACTTGTTAAATATAAGGTTGTGTTTTTATTTTACATGCAACATTTTAGATCAGCTTTTAATAAGCTTCAGAGGCTGCTGGGGATTTTCAAAGGGAAGTTTAAGTTTGCTGTATGTAGCTATTTAGGGGCATATCTTTGTGTAAATGAGTACATGAGCAGACCAGTGTAGGATTTAATGAAACCCAGTTTCCTAGTGTGTGCTGGTGGTTCTTACACACAAATATAGAACATGCTCTAAACACGTTTTGATAAATGAGACACACAGTTTACACAGTTCAAGCCCTCATTTTTACAGCAACAGCTTATTTTTAAAGCTTTAAATTTATTTAATATAATTCAATCTCAAATTGTTTGTGAAAAAACAGTGTATTAATAAATAAATGTGTGGTTTCCATTTATGCTGTTCAATAAATGTAGCTTTTATTTTTCTCTGATGCCTTATCTTCTTTCTTCTTTTTAACACATTTTATTTTATTTATCTCTACAGCTGGTGGTTCTGATGCTGACTCAGGTAATAATATTCCACATTAAAATCATTTAATATGAATAATATTTCTAATTTTATAGTGAGTGTCCACTGTAACTCAGCTGTGATGTGACCTTATTGTGTCTGTTTCAGGAAGGGGATCTGACGGTTCATCTGACTCTGGTAATGTTTCTTCTGAATGAAAGTCTGGACCCACTTTATTTAATTTTTGTTTTTGATGGCAGTGCATTGTTTGTCATTGGTAAAAGTCAGTAGATTCTCAGAGAATGAACTGCCCTGTATATTTATCTTAACAAGTCAATACATATGCTGCTTTTCAGACTCCAGGACCAGTGGGTCACCAAGTGGTAGTGTGGTGAATGTTGAAGAGACCACCTCGATGCTGCGGGAAGCCTCCAGTGATCCTGATGGAAAGGCAAATGAGCCGACACTGCTAACTTCTACAGCCTAAATTCATGCAGGATGGATGATCGTAAGTAGTCTATAAATGTCAGCTTATGTGCTTGTGACATACAATAGAAATAGGTGAAACCATAAAACTGTTTCTGAAAGGGCAGGGTGGGCAGATTGGACAGGAATGTGGGAAAGTTTATACAACTTACTGGAAACCTCATATTTTCATAACTGATGTTTTATGCAATGAAAGAGCTACAGAAAAGCAGGACACAATGTAAAAAAACAAACATTTTCTTTTAATACAAAACTGGGTTTTTCAATTAATAAAACATATTGATCTTCAGTTAGTTAACTTGTACTTCAGACTGATATCTTGCTTTGGGTAGCTGCTTATTGAAATTTACATTTTTATATTATATTATATTATATTAAAAGTATATTGTATATAACTGAATGGAGTATCATGGGAAAATTAGTTTTAAGCAAGCAGGCTCAAACTTTTGACTAGTAGAGTATGACGTTCTTCTCTGGTTATGCATATTGGTTGGATAATTATAACATACGACATTGAGAATATATGATTTATAAGAGTATATGAATCCTTCAAAGGAGCCTATAAGGTTTTCATTTAAACGTTCTCTGTACATTTATGTTATTGCCACTCAGGAATGTGCTTACAGTGGTTTACAAGTGTTTATGACATACAAATGCATGTGCAACTTTTTCTTTCATGTGTGGTACAGTCATATGCAAAAGTTTGGGTGCCCCGGTTAAATTCCATGTTGTTGCTAATGTTCTGAGTGTAAATAAGTGACCCCATCCTCTAAAGAGACACACTTATGCACATTTTAAAGCACAATTAATTTAATATTTTTTAACTGAATTTATTGGGGGGAAAAACTTTGTGTGGTCTGTGCAAAAGTTATGTCACACTTTGTTTTATTTTATTTTTGGTAAACTCTTCAACTCTGTAAATCTATTGATTTTGTGCACTAAATTGTGCAGAAAGATGGCATATTTAACTGTTTCCTATAGATGGTTTACTTCTTTTCACTTAGAAAATGTTCAAATTTTGCATATGACTGTAGATTATGACCTCCGCAGACCACAACTTGATTTCCTTATGCGCTGTTGTTGTTATTATTTACTTGCAGTATGATAGTGCATATATATTAACAGCTTTATTTATTATATACACTGTGTATGTATATTGTTGCTGTTGGACCAAAACCTTTTATTTTCAAAATGGTAACTTTACAGGAGAAAGGAAGAACGTTCAATATAAGTGAAATATTTTAAAAACCTACATTTTGGACCATTTCTTTTGGTTTATTCATCTGAAAAGCTGATGTTCTCCAAAAACAGAAAAACATTAAAAATTGAGATACAAGATTTTGTTCTGACAGTGACAATATGCATCCTTTTAGTAGCTTTTTGTAGAACACTGGTCCTGTTATAGTTTACTCACTGTCCACTATATTAAAGACATCGTAGCTCCACTTTGTGATGTACAGTTAGACTCTGTAGTTTATCTGTCATCAGTTTGTGTTAGTAATCCTCTAGGCCTTCATCAGTGGTCAGTTTCTGACCACAGAGCTGCTCTTGCCTGGGTATTTTTTGGTAGATGGCCCACTCTCAACTCAAGCAGTGACACTGATATGCATAAAAACTCCAGTAACACTGCTGTGTCTGATACACTCATATCAGCTTCACACACTACCATGTCAGAGTCACTGCTGTACGGAGAATGAACCACCATCTAAATAATATCTGGACAACAGCGGTCCTGTGGTCAGAAACTGACCACTGATGAATGAGGTAGAGGGAGCTGATACACTGAACATCAACAAATGGACTACAGTCTAACAGTAACTGTACACCTACATAATGGAGCTATCCAAGAAATGTTTCTAATAAAGTGGCCAGTGAGTGGAAGTGCAAGGCAGGTGTTTCTAATAAAATGGCCAGTTAGTGGAAGTACAAGGCAGGTGTTTCTAAAAAAGTGGCCACTAAGTGGAAGCATAGGGTAGCTGTTTCTAATAGAGTGGCCAGTTAGTCAAAGCACAAGGTAGCCTGTGAGTGGTAGTACAGGGTTGGTGTTTCTGTTTTGGATGGCGATTGTATCAATGATTTAATCATTGTATTTCACAGGGAGATCCAGGGGAAGTGTGATTTTTTATATGATGTCAGACCGCAAGTTGTGATAATGCTGCAGAGCTTGTGGTCCATTGGAACTGAACTCCAGATCATCCAGGATTATACACCAGCACTTTCATTTACCGTACAGACTCTTTTCCATTCACTGACCAAGTCAGTACTTTCACATCACTCTGTTACCTTAACAGAAACCATCCACATTAAACTGCACCTCTACTCCTCTGTTAATGCTGAACTTAAAAAGCAGATGATACAAGTAGAAAGTGGGAGCATCAAATGCAGGTGAACATACGGTACTTTAAACATATAGATAATATGGGAGTTAAGCAGATCTTCTCTTAAGCAAAAGCTCTACAGGCTCTACAAATAAACATGCTTAATAAAAAAGCATTAATATTATAAGCCTCCCTTTCAAGCTTTTCCTTTATTAGCCCACATTTAGCACTATCTGGCTGCAGTGTACTGATTGTAATATGTTTTAAGAAGATACATAAATGGTTTTATGGAGCTTTTTTCTGTTATGGTTTTACTTTTGTAACTGATGTGTTTATTGTTTTTTTTTTTTTCTGTAATAGTGTAGCCTAATATACAAAGACGGAGTCAAACATTGTTGTGATTAAACTTAAAGTGAAGTCTTAGAGGGAGTAAAAATGTAAGCGCAAGCTTAATGTAAGCTGAAGCAAGTAATCTATTGTGCTATAAGATTAAAAATTTTCATTATTTCAGTAAAGTGGTTTAAAAAGTGCCTTGTAGTTTTTGTTGTATATTTTTGTATTCATATATCCAACATCTGTGTACTGTTTACATACAGTATGCATGCTTACAATTTGTATTTGCATTGTCAGATGTGGCCTAATGTCCTTGATTTCATTGTTTTTTCAGTCTGTCAGGGTCAGAGTTGACAGCTTTCTTTTTCACTCTCTTGTTCTCTAACTGGGGGTTAAAGATCAAAGTGAGTGTCATATCTTAGTTTTTCCTGCTATTGTCTTCTCTTGTTTGAGTATTTTCTTGGCCAGTCTTCAGCTCAGCCTCAACCTGGCGCTACACTGTCCACCCAGAAACAAGCGATGGCCTGGGGGTGTTTTCTGTTCACATATTCTGGAAAGTACCGGTGTTCAGCGCTCTGATTGGCTCTTCCAGTGCGGGAAGAGAGGACTCTTGCCAGCCAATCAGAGCCGTGTAAAGTTTAGTTTCTCTCTTAACGGACGAAGTACGCGTCTGAAGATTAAGAAAATCGACTTTTTTCAACAAAAAGATCTTGCAAAGTGATTTTACACCGGACTGAATCGCAGAGCGGGATGATGGGGGTGCCTGCGGCTCTCTGTGTGGCCTTACTGTGTGGATTTGTGGCTCCTTCTCTCGGAGGAGGTGAGTTGTTCTTTCGTTCAGTCGCGCTATTGTTGCTGCGCCATTGGCGAAATCGAAAGTAAAACTGTATCGCTAATAAAACCCTCCGCGCAACTTAACGCGGGGAGTAAAGCATAGTTAACATTAAAAACCGGTTATTACACGGTTTAAAATTAGTATTTCTCACTTATTCAGCCTGAATTCAGCATCCTAGCGCACGAGGCTGAACTCAGCTTCCGGTCCGCCAGCTTGTTGTTAGAATTTCCCCGTTCCACCTTAAACAGTGCAGCAGTTATTGTGACGCCCGAGGCGCCAGAACGTAGCTGCTGCAGCATTTAAGGTGGAACGGGGTAATTCGAACGACAAGCTGGCGGAGCGGAAGCCTCGTGTTAGCGCCGTTATGAACCGGGTTAAACATTAAAAAGGCCCGTTACAGTCAATCTGTTCATCTCTGCAGCTGTTCATCACAGCCACAGCTTCAGGCTTACTGTGTCCGGACTGAGGCGAGCGTGTCTGTCAGCTGGATAAGCCGTGTTTAAACTCGAGCTCTGCGCCTAGGAATGTGCGCCACAGCTGCAGATCATCACGGAAGTCCTCCATTTTCTTTCAGACTGTGGTCTCATGTTTTCCATTTTGTGTTTGTGGACATCTGTGTGTTGTTGATGCAGATCATACATCATTTGTGTCCGAGTGTGGATGGTTTGGATGAAGTCCGGTGTTTTTGTCCAAACTGAATAAAATGAAAACAGCATGTTGTTTATAAATGATAATGATTTCACGCGGAGCTGAGCTAATAACACTTTAAAAAACCCCCAAAAAACAGTGTCTCAGTCATCAGGCAGTGAATTCATAACCATTTCATGTAGGAACTTTCTGTGAGGGAGCTTTTAGAGGTGGACGTCTGGTTCCTATCACCACCACTGTGAACAGCGCGCTTCACACCAAACCGCTCTGAACCGCTCTGAACCCTGTCAGTGCTATGTCAGAGTGCTGTAAATGTGTCTGTAAATGTGTCTCATCTCTGTGTTTAATGCTCTGTGGGCTGGTTGGCTCTATTGATGAAGCTTCACTGAACCACAGTCAATAATATATGACTCATATATATTAATAATGCTCCCAGTCCACCTCCAGCTCACCTGCACACAGAGCTGAGACTGAGCACGTGTTCATATTGCACTGCAGTCCTAATGATCAGCACATTCCGTTTCATTTGACTCTATATGGGTTAATGTTGCTCTCACAGTCAGTGCTGAAACATGTTATTGTTCAGTTGTTGTGATTGATGCCTGTGATGGTCAATACAGACAGACAGAAGCTAAACGTATGGGGTATTTACAGCAGTGCAGGCTGGATCAGGTGGGATGTGACTGTAACAGGTGCTTTCGTCTAAAATGGGACTTGACAAATACGCAAAGATGTGCAGGATGTTCAGTTAAAGGCCTTTTTAACTGGAAATCGAATAATTAAAGGTGCTTTTTGGCTTCTGCACAGTCTAACCAGCAAAGTCATTGTCAAAAAAAGGTAACAGGAATGTGTTGATATTCCAGTCGGCTCCTCATGACGCTGCTAAATATATATATATATATATTTATATATATATATATATATAAAACACACAGTGTTTCTCCAGAGAATTCAAACAAGCCATGGATCGATGTGATTTGTACCACAGCTTTATTGAATCCCTAAGGAACAGCTTACAGAAAACCGAGGGAAACTGGTGCTCAGCTCTCACTGCTAGGCTGCTCTTTTTACTGCACGACTCACACAGCTAGTGCTGGACGACATGACCTCAAATCAATATCACGATTATTTGAATGTTTTACCTCGATTACGATTAATGAACGATTATTTTGTTTTTGTTTTTTGTTTTTTTGGCCCTCATAGTTCACTGACAAGGTTTGAACTGTAAATATGTTCTGCATATCTTCATGTAAATCGTCTCAACAGCCAGATCAGAATTCACTCGGCTTTTACGTCAATCCAACTCGACATTCGTCATAATTTCACGCTGCTGAGACCTAATAAACCTTTGGGGTGATATTCCTGTACGAACATTAGAAGACACTGTGACGCTGGTGAAGATGAAGCTGATCCTCCGGGGGCGACTGGTGTTCGTTGGCGGTCGTGATTGTTCACCTCTGGAAGAGCCGTGAAGCAGCGTGACGCTCTGTTCTTTTGCTCGTGTGGGTCAGTTTGGGAGCTGATCTGTTCAGACTGATGTCACATACAGATCACATTTAAAAGATATTGATAGTGGAATAATCTATCGATTACTGAAACAAATAATCACTTGTTCACATTATAAATCATTACATTACCAAATGACTCTTATGTAGCTATTGGCTCTTAAATTTCGTTTGAGGTTGATTTATTCAAAAATTGTTATGAACTTTCCTGCTAATACAAAAGATAAATAAAACTCCAATATCTTTTTCCTGTCATCTTTTTCCTGTTGTGCTCACGTCGCAGCTGTGGCAGCTGGGAAAGCTGTTCTTGACACCCTTTTCTTTAAATTGTTGACAGTAAATTCGACAGACACGTCTTCTTCAGTAGTTATGTACACCAAACTGCAGCGGCTGCGTGTGTGGAGACTTTATTAGAATCCACTGGGGCTGCTTTTTTAATACAGCCGGGTTTTTATACACATCACTGCTGATTGGGTAACAATCAGTGGGGGGGGGTTTCAGTATCTCAGGTCTCGTTCACAAGTGATGGGAAGAGGGATGGTGAGATCGGCCGCAGGCTGGCACAGGCAGCAGCAGTAATGCGGTCACTGTACCAGACTGTAGTGGTGAGGAGCCATAAGGCAAAGCTCTCTGTATACCAGTCAGTCTGCATCCCCACCCTCACCTGTGGTCATGAGCCATGGGTAATGACCGCAAGAATGAGATCACGACTACAAGCGGCGGAAATGAGCTTTCTTCACAGCGTGGGCCTGCACTCGGAGTAGAGCCGCTACTCCTCCTCACTGAGAGGAGCCAGTTGAGGTGGTTGGGCGTCTGATCAGGATGAGCCCTGGACGCCTCCCGGTGGGGGTGTACCAGGCACAGCCGACTGGGGCGAGACCCCGGGGTCGTCCTAGGACCCGCTGGAGGGATTATATCTCCAAGTTGGCCTAGGAGCGGCTTGGGGTCCCTAGGAATTAGCTGGTGGAAGTTGTGGGGGACAGGGTCGTCTGGGATTCTCCGCTCTCCCACCTGCTACCGCGACCCCATCTGGACTAAGCGGTTAAAGATGATGTTGATGATGATGATGCCGTGTTTTTGGCACTCTTGGAAAAAATAGGCATTTTCCACCTCCAAAATCTAAATTAAACTGGGGTCATAACCTAATCGAAAGATATTGAATGTCCAGCCTGCTGTCTGTGTAGGAGGCTCACTCACCGAGTGAAAGAATATAGAAGAAGTAGGAGCAAAAGAACTGCTAACAGCTGCACCACAGCTGGGCTCCTGCCGTGGTTAACATTCAGTACAGATTCATTCAAGGTAACTTTCTTAACGAATACACATCGGAGAGTCCGGCTGAGCCTGACGGACTCCAGCATCCCACCTGAGCGTGAAATCAGGATCGGACCCGTCAGAGGAGCTGATAACGCCAGATGAGAGCGAGTCACAATCGTGGAAAATACCCAGAAACAGGACGTTAAGCCATGGTGAATCAGATTCAGCAGAGGCTCCACGGCTGAACGGCATCAGCTGATTTGGTGCAGAACTAAAGAGAAGAGCCGTCGTCCTACAGAGAGCAGAGGATCATTAAATAACCAAAGCTTTCCCACTGATTTAATAACACCTGTGAATTCTGCCTTTTCTCCACCTCGTCTAATCTTCTCAACGGTCTTAAAAGAAAGAGGCTTAAAAGGGATCTTTGAAGTGATGCCAGAAGAACAGAAGAAACATTTTGGCTCCTTACAGAACCTTTCAGTGAAGAACCATGTTTGGAAATGAGATGTGAAAACGTGATGAAGGACCTCAGCATAATGTAAAGGCTCATAGAACTGTACATCTTGGCCAAGAACCATTTAAGAATGTTTATTACATTAAATACATAAATACAGATCAGATTAAATTAGGTTATCTTTACTGTTCACTGTAGTGGAAATACATCTTTGGCTTCTTCTAATATGCGCCATCACTGTCATAACAAAACCTCACAATGGCGACTTTTTCCCATTGTTTTTACTGTTTTACACTATTTGAAAAAAGGACAGCTTTTCTTTACGTTGTGTTGAATATTTCATGAAGAATGGACCAATAAAAATGGTCGTAAATGGGTTGGAATAAAAACTCATGACGTTAACCTACATTACAGTTAGAAACCTAAGCTTTATGGATTGGAGTGGAAGTGGAATTTTAACCAAAGGTTTTTTTGTTTTTTTTTAAATTTTAGTCAGCCTATAAGACAAAGATGTATATACTGTTTTATTTCGTATGTAAACAGTAAATTAATTTAACATATTATATTAGAATAACATGAATTTATATGGTCAAAATATAATATGGAAGCCCAGAAATGCAGGCGGTTTCATGTGTTCCCTCTCCAAAACTCCTCAGTGCTCTCATAGAGAGTTTGATAACTAGCTGATGAGCTGAGAATGTGTGAGACTGAGGCTCTGCAAACTAGAGTCAGACCCACTGGTCCATATTCATCAAATTAGCGTACGAATTAAAGTCAAATCTGATCATAAAATGAGTGCATGAAAATTTCACACACAGTTTTGTTCTTCATCAGTTTCATCTTCAGCGTATCTGTGAGATCAGACTATTGATTTATTTATATGCTTATTGATTTAAACAGATGCTGCAACTCTTCCAGCTGTGCTCCATTTAAAGACGTAAACTACTGACTGGGCCAAAAAATAAACAATACAGAACACAGCTGGTGCAGCAGCGTCTCATACATCACAATAACACGGCTTTTAAATATGTTGTTTTAGGAAAACATACTAACATTCTGAAGTTGGGTCAGTAGGGGGAGCAGTGCACTCACTTAAACTCCGCCTACAAGTGCAGCCATTGGCTCACGATCTGCTGAACACTGTCGTTTCATTGGCTGACTTCTGAAAAATCTGCATGAATTAGGGCAAGCTTGATGTAGATGATATGTAAAAGAGGCGCTGATGGGCTGGTGCTTGATTTCACGCACTGAAGCCGACTCTGCTAAAGAAGGACTAGCGGTTCTGAGTAAATGGACAACTATTTTTGATGTAATGTTTGTTATGACAGTGACGATGTATAAAACAGCCACATTAAACACACTGAGTATACTTTAGCAGCAGAGGTAATTGGGTGAGGTAATTGGGTGAGGTAATTGGGTGAGGGAAAGATGCTCTGTGCCTCAGACGGTTCTGATTCGCTGTTAAAGGGTCTGAAATATTCTGGACGGTTCCTGTGGGAGCTCGTTCTCCAACCCGTCAGATTTAATCTTTCAATAAACAGTGATTCACTGTGGAAGCCGTGGTTGTTCTCCGTGTAGAGACAGGCTGGTGGCACACGCTCGTCCTGCTCCACTCGCAGAGTTTAAATGTGTCATCATTTCTTATTTATGGAGCGATTCCCAGCAGGGCGGCTCAGGGGGAACCCATCTGTAAATCTTTTGGCACTCCTGCTGCTCTTTTCTCCCTGGTTGGGCAGGTGGCCACTCATGTGAGACTGCAGCGCGACTGCACAGAAGGTTTGGGAGCAGATCTTAATTAAAACTGAACAGACCTTTTACTGCAGCGCATACTGAGCTGAGTAATCACAATCACAATCTATTTCCCTACACATATATATATACACATAATGTGTGTGTGTGTGTGTGTGTGTGTGTGTGTGTGTGTCTATAAGGAACACCTCGTAGTTTCTACACTCATTTTCCATCTTATCAGCTCCACTGACCATATAGTTTCACTCAGTGGTTCTACAGTTACAGGCTGTAGTCCATCTATTTCTCTGCATACTTTGTTACCCTGTTCTTCAGTGGTCAGGACCCCCACAGAGCAGGTACTATTTGGGTGGTGGGTCATTCTCAGCACTGCAGTGACACTGACGTGGTGATGGTGTGTTAGTGTGTGTATATATATATGTGTTTAAAGTGAGGTCAGGTACTGATGTTGAATGATTAGTTCTAGATCTCGAACTTCACTCCAGCTTATCCCAAAGGTACTGGGTGGAGCTCCATCACTCTAGAGAACACAGTTCCACTGCTCCACAGCCCAGTGCTGGGGGGCTTTATACCCCTCTAGTCTGTGCTGACCCCTAACCCTAACCCTAGGCATTGGGTGTGGTGACTTTATGTGCAGCTGCTCCAGAGCGTCCTGTTCTATTGTCAGTGCTTTTCTGTGAAGATTATACAAGCTGTAAGTGCAGCTTGCAGTTCCTCACCATTTAATGTGGGACAGAAAATTTTGAACTCGCTGCAGATTAAACGTATCAGGAAACCAACCTGTGGAGCCGCAACAGGACAGTAAAGGAGCCACATGCGTCTCCGGAGCAGCATGTTGCTGACCCCTGGTCTGTGGTAAAGACGGTCTTGAGCCCCACTATATGGACTGGATCGTCTGAGGGCTCCATAAGTCTGAACTAGTGGCATAAGGCTGGCATTCTGCTCTCCTCGAGTGGCTCAGTCACACATCTGCAGTGTAAAGCACAGTATGTTTTAAACAGGGTAGTAAATTTATTCATTACAGTGAGAAACACACTCAGTACTTTCCTGCCTGTGTGCTACACAAACCTGCAGGGCTTCGAGGATCCAGGGGGAGAGAGAAGATGGAGAGACTTCAAACACAGACATGGAGACATAGACAAAGAGAGAGAGAACACACACACACACACACACAGACACACACAGACACACACACACACACACACACACACACACACTCACACACTTACACAGACACACACTCACACACACACACACACACACACACACACAGACACACACACACACACACACACACACACACACAGACACACACACACACACACAGACACACACACACACAGACACACACACACAGACACACACACACACACACAGACACACACACACACAGACACACACACACAGACACACAGACACACACACACAGACACACACACACACACACACACACACACACAGACACACACACACACAGACACACACACACAGACACACACACACAGA